CCCTCCTTTACTTTCTTCCTTGTTTCTTTCCTACCCCCTACACCCCAGCAACTTATTTCCTTCTTTCCTTTTTTATGGTGAGAAAATATGAGTGATTAAGATTTTCATGAGAGCACTCCAAGCAAGCTAGTAATGCAATATAATTTATATCATTTAAATAATTACTTAACATTTATTTAGTAGGAGTGAGAAAAAGTAGTTTATGGTAATGAACATTACACAGAGTCACTTAATTTACTTCATTGGCTGATGATGAATTTGTTTAAATTTGTTTTCCATTTTTCAGCAGTGCTAGTTTGCACTTCCATTTTCTTTTGTGAGTTTCTGAACCAGACAACACCTTGGGAGGTATATTAAGGGGTTTAACATTTTGGATAATAAAAGATTCACTCACTTCTGTAAGTATGCCATACATTATTTGGTTTTAGAATTTCAGTTGAAGCCAACAAATTACTACTTAGCATGTCTACATGGCCAAAATATTCAACAGAGTGTGTGTTGGGGGTGGGGAGAAGGTGTTTGTCTTTCAACTCCAAAATGTCTATTTCAAGAGTAGTGAGACAATTACATTTTACTTGGGATAGCTGGGTCTGTATTTCCAACTTATTTTAGTGTTTCCGCTTACAGTTTCCTCTTATAGATTGCTGCTCTAAGAAGCTGCCTGGGAGACCTCTGTCTCTATCTGGCTCTGAATGTTCTCTTTGAAGAAAGAGAACCTAAAAGCCAAGATTAGGTATGCTATTATTACACAAGTAGACTTTTCAAAACCCCTAATCTAAGATAGCATAGCTTCAGTTAATTGCCAGTTAATTGTAAGTAGAAATTCAGAGTTACATCAGAGCATCTGCAAGGACCTGCCCACAGGGAACCCTGACCAGAAAACGTTTTTCTTTTAAGTGTGACAGCTTCTGACTTACTTCAAGATATGGTGTTATTTCCCACATTTTCTTGGAATGAGTTGGTTGGTGGCAGAACTGGAAGAGACGATGACCCCAGCTATGCTGATGCTTACTCAAGTTTAGCTAGCCCTCCAAGGAGGAGTTGGCTCTGGCAAACTCTTCCATCCTTAGGGAAAGAGGCAACATGTGCAAATTCTCCCAGAAGTTAATGGACCAATGCCCAATTCTTTGATGATTCTGCAATGTGGTGTTATTAAAATTTATTTTTGTTATTTTATATGTAATCACCATATTACTCTGAAAACTATAACTTTTCATATAGCAATAAGAGTTTATTATCCAACCCCAACACCAAGCCTTTTCCTGGGTGTTATTTTCCAATGCATTGCAGAAGTTATATAAAGGTCTTCAAAAAGCTCTTTATCAGCAAGGGAACAGTCTATCTTTGTCTGCCCAATTAAGATAAAAGCTGTATCTGAAGGGAAGCACTGTTTTTAGGTCCTGGGACTGGTTGTCTTCCAAGATGCTAGTAAAAAAAAAAAAAAAAAATAGGAAGGACAAGTTTCTCTTCTGTGAGAAGGAAAAGAAACAAACAAACAAAAGCTTCTTTTAGTCCTGTAAACGCTGTTGGTATGACTCTAGATATTGGCTTAATAAAATGAGATTACACAAATGATGCTAATTATCACCCCAATTAGAGTGCAAAACATGGTATGACGTGATTAAAGAATGCAGCAAATGACTGAAGGAGTAGATGCATTCATTAATTGCCATCTCATCGGCCTTTCCATTGTGATACTTCCTCAACCTTCCTGACCACACATAGGACAACATAGGAGCACTGTACTGGGAGTCTGGTGGACAAATCCCAATTCTGAATTTACCTTGTTTTTAGAGGAATATTAGAGATCAGTGGTTTCCTACACAAAGAACCTATTTTTATTATTTCTGTCCTGTAAATAGGATGTTTTGAAGAATATTATTAGATATCTCTTTCATCTCAGACCATAAGGTATGGGAACCCCAGGTGTGTTCATGAGAAAGAAGGCTGGTCTGGGTTTGAATCCTGATCTCATGGCTTACTAGCTGTAGGACCTTGGGAATGCTCTATAACCTCTTTAAGCCTCAGTTTCTCTATGGAGTTATAGCAAGTATATGAGTATATTTATGGTTTAGAGCAGCGGTCCCAACTTTTTTGGCACTAGGAACTGGTTTGGTGGAAGACATTTTTTCCACAGGATTGGGTTGGGGGATGAAACCTTTCCACCTCAGATTGTTAGGCATTACTTTAATTCTCATAAACAGCTCAAAACCTAGATCCCATGCATGCACAGTTCCCGATGGGATTTGTGCTCCTATGAGAATCTAATGCCACCGCCGATCTGACAGGAGACTGAGCTCAGGTGGTCATGCTCGCTTGCCTGCTACTCACCTCCTGCTGTGTGGCCCGCCTCCTAACAAGCCATGGACTGGTACTGGTTTGCAGTCTGGGGCTTGGGAACCCCTGGCTTAGAGCAGTGCCTGGAACATGGTGAAAGTGAAACTACAATAATAATGATATGATGATGATGATGATGATAACAGTTATTACTGCTATTATCATTTGAACTAACCAGGGAGAAGGGTTGGCCTTTCTTGGAGTTGACTAGTAGTCCAACCAACACACTCAAAAGAATATAGATAACTGTGGTTTGAGTGATGTTGCCACATTGTTTAAGGATGTGTGGGAGTGAGCAATAGGAGTTTGGGTGCAGAGTTACTATTTTTCACGCTGCAGAAGTCTATCCTAATTTTTATTGGGCTCTCAATGGCAGAGAAGGGTTAAGAAGCAAAGTTAGAGTACTGGGCAAGAAGGGGTCAAGGTGGAGGTCAGATAGTCAGGGCTTCAAAGCAGAGTTTGTTATGAGAGGGAGACTCGTATCTGCAGAAAATCATGTCCAACCATTAAAACTCCCTGTAAAACGAAGTTGTTACTGTGAAAAGGTGCGGTTGGTGGCAGGCAGACACTCAGGGCAGGTCCAGGCAGGGTGAGCCAATCCTGCTCCATGAACTGGCTGTGGTTCCTAACAGAGGGCACCATATTTGCTTAGGACAAACTCAGTTCTCCGTCATTGCTGACTGCAGGTTACAGGTCTTGAGAGTCTATAATTGGAGGAGTGGGAAAAGTAGGGCCCATGATTTTTTCCCCATTTTTATTAAAATTATTTTTCTATTCCATCTCTGGTCCATCCGTATTTTAACCAAATATTTACCGTCATTGAAGTCTAATAAATTTACCTGATATCTGATTGTTGTGATGCTAAAACACAGTTAGGATAGGTAAATATACAGATACGTGTGCACTGTTCACTGCTTCTGCCTGCTTAAATTCTGGTTCACTTCGAGTCTGGCTGTCATTGGTTTCTAGGCCAAAAAACCTGATGGTATGCTGGACACTTTGTGCACAGTGACTGGTCACCATTCACATCCCAGAGTGTCCCATGATGTCAACAGTGAATCAGCATAGGCTCACTGTGAAATGTCAGTGTAACCATATAGATTTTATATGATTATAGTAAAAAGACCCAGAAAACAGAGAACTTTAATATTTACTTAGCCTATGCAGCAGCATTGTGGGTGAATATACCTCTTCTGTTGGGTTTTTGAAATGCTGATGAAGGCTCATATATAGCTAAAGATACACTTGACATACTCAATGGATACTACAGAATTTTGCACATGGAACCATTACTCACCTCCAGAAATACTCTGACCACTAAGACATCTCCCTTTACTGGTGTGGCTTTTCCACCATTCCTTCCCTGCATCCTTTACAGAATCCTTGAATGTAGGGGTCTCCAATCTCCAGGCCATGGACTGGTATTGGTCTGTGGCCTGTTAGGAACTGGAATGCACAGCAGGAGGTGAGTGGTGGGTGCGTGAGCAATGAATGCTTCATCTGTATTTGCAGCCACTCCCCATCACTCACATTACTGCCTGAGCTCCACCTCCTACCAGATCAACAGCAGCAACTGATTCTCACAGGAGCTTGAACCCTACTGTGAACTGCACATGTGAGGATCTAGGCTTCGAGCTCCTTATGAGAATCTAATGCCCAATGATCTGTCATTGTCTCTCATCAGCCCTAGAGGGACCATCTAATTGCAAAAAAACAAGTTCACGGCTCCCACTGATTCTACATTATGGTGAATTGTCTGTTTATTTCATTATATATTACAATGTAATAAGAGTAAAAAGTACACAATAAATGTAATGTGCTTGCATCATCTCAAAACCACCCCTGCCGCCATGGTCTGTGGAAAAACTGTCTTCCATGAAACCTGTCCCTGGTGCCAAAAAAGTTGGAGACCACTGCTCAAATGCTTCCTGGATTGTGCTCTCAGCCAACACCTCTCACGGGATCTACTCTCTCTAGTTGGTCTTTTCATTCTGATTATTTAAACAATTACATTTTTGTACATGGAGGACCTCCATTCTGACTAGATCTCTAGCTCTAGCCTATCCTGAGTTCCAGATCTCTATTTCCAGTTGATAACCAGAGTTCTCCTCTGGGATATCCCACGGATTCCATCAAGGCTTAGCCATTTTTCCCATTGGTTTCTCCTGTTGGATTAAACCAATCATAATTTATCTCCCTACCCCTATTCAAACCTGGGACAGTGTTGATTTTCCCTTTTAGGGCCTCATGGAGATGGGCTCTGAGCAAAATTAGGGCTCTTCCAGCAAGAAAGAAAGACTGTTAATTAAGCAACTGACAGCGTCTGCCCACATATACAGATTTGAACCCTACTAAAATTCATATAATAATTTTTTCTCTGGCATTCAAAGTTCCCCTTATCTAGACTCAGAACACTTTTAGAGTCTTGCCTTTCTTCCTAAACATCACCCTGTTCTGGTCATTTTGGAGCCTATCCTTTGGATCAGGACATGCCCAGGAATTGCCCATCTCTGCTTCAGTTACCTCTTGGGTGCCACCTCATATTTTCTCTGCCCATCCAAACCCTACTTACCTTTCAAGATCTCACTCAAAAGCCACTTCTGGCTGGGTGCAGTGGCTCACACTGCTAATCTCAGTACTTTGGGAGGCCGAGGCAAGTGGATCACTTGAGGTCAGGAGTTCGTGACCAGCCCGGCCAACATAGTGAAACCCCATCTCTACTAAAAATACAAAAATCAGCTGGATGTGATAGTGGGTGACTATAATCTCTGCAACTCTGGAGGCAGAGGCAGGATCACTTTTATCCTGGTGGCAGAGGTTGCAGTGAGCTGAGACTGCACCATTGCACTCCATCCTGGGTGACAGAATGAGACTCTCTCAAAACAAAAAACAAACAAACAAAAAAGCCATTTCTAATATGAAGCCATGTGTGGGCAACTCGGAGATCTCTCTTTTTTCTCCTTTTTATCCCTGTAATATGTTTTCAGTCTTTTCCACTAGATTTTAGGTTTCTTGATAAAGACTATCTATACTCAGCTATTTCTGTGGTTCCCACTGTGCTGGGCACACAGTAACTGCCTAACTTACTGTTGTTGGATGAATATTGATTTGACTAGAAGATTTTCTTGTTGTGTTTACAGAAAAAGCCAAACATGTCTAATATAGCAAGGGAGGCATTACTGACATCATCTGGTTTGAAGGCCAAGTTCCTCCTTAATGGCACGTGTGTGGGTCTATACAGTGAATCCCTTCTGTGCAACAGGAAAGGAAATACTCTTGTTTCTGAAATTGGCAAAGCTTGCTTCCCCTGTCATTGCCTTTGCCCCTGTCCTTTTCTTTTCTTGGTGGATAAGCCACTTGTTGCTTTTCTTTGGACGTTTCTTATTTTTGGACCTATTGATTCTGACTGTACTCACCCTTCCCTTCCTCAGGCTATTTTCCCTGTTCAGTGCTAATATTTTATACAGTAGCTCTTTTAATATCCTTGAGTATACCTTTATGCATCCTATTTCTACTGTTGGTAATAAAGATTCCTGTAATAATGTGTATTGTTGAAATATATTCTCTTATTCATGGAGAGTTTATCATAGTGTTTACAATGTGTTTACCATAGTGAAAGGGCACAGAGGAAGATATGAAAGTGGGATAGGATTTGGTAGATATTGACTTAAATGATAAATATCTACTTTTTAAAAAGATGCTAAAAATTCTTGGAAAGAAACAACAGTAATAATTCAAATAACCTATCCATCAGTATTTAAAAATTAGAGGTAGAGTAAAGGTTAGAAGACCTTTCTCTAAAATACTGAGTTTTGGGTTATCAAAGGGAAACTATTGGAAAACTAGTTTTCCAATTTTTAAATGAAGGCCTGGGTGAGCTAGATATGCACATTGGTGAATTGGTGCAATTACTTTAGAAATAAATGACACCATTTTCAGCAGATCTGGATTTTATGTCAGGCAGATGCAGACCAGATCTAGATTAACCTCTGCGGCCCGACTCATCTTGTTTTCTGTACTAGTTCCCTCTGCAACCCTTTTGTTCTCTTCTACAGATGGGAGAAGTGAGGACGGTGAGTAGACAGAAGTAGAATGGAAAAGTCAACCCATAAAGCACCTGATGTACTAGATGACCTTTTTTTTTTGAGATCGAGTCTTGCTCTGTTGCCAAGGCTAGAGTGACCTCAGTTCAATGCATACTCTGCCTCCTGGGTTCAAGCGATTCATCGGCCTTAGCCTCCCAAGTAGCTGGGATTCCAGGCATGCACCACCACGCCTGGCTAATTTTTATATTTTTAGTAGAGATGGAGTTTCACCATGTGACCCAGACTGGTCTTGAACTCCTGACTTCAGGTGATCCACCTGCCTTAGCTTCCCAATGTACTGGGATTACAGTCATAAGCCACTGTGTCTGGCCTGTGCTAGATGACTTTTACGTGAGATCTTGGTTATGCAGTTGAAAGCATTGCACCCAAGAGCTGTGCCCGTTGTGTCATTTGGAGAAGAACGCTTGGCAATGGTGCATTGAGAAGGATGTATGTTCCCCCTTTAGTCCTCCTGGACTGATCTGGAGAGAAACAGCATGACTAAGGAAGAGTGTAAATCTGAAAACAGTAGAAAGCAAATCACTTATTTTGATATGTATATGTAAAGGTGTTAATGCAAGACAGCTAGAAGAAGTTAAAAGCATCCCCTTTCAGTCAGCAAATATTAACAAAGCTCCCACTATGTTTGAGTTATGCTTGTAGAATGAGGTATTGAACACGTGTCATGTTTTTTTCTAGAAAAGCAAAGTTAACCTCTCCAGGTCAAACATTATTTATTTTACTCATTTAAAATAAAAATTTATTTAGAAATATATTTTATATTTTCCATGTTCCTTAAGTAGACTGTGTGGAATATAATTAGATCCTATCTTAATGACTTAACACCCACAGTAGTACTGTCTGGCCAGCATTTATGCTTGGGTCCAACAAGCCTCTTCCATCTAATGAGCAATCTCTAACTACACAGCACATTTACTGTGATCTAAGAAATCAGATAACCCTGATTATTAGAACTGTATTTAAAGTAAGTGTCAACATGACATGAGTATGTCTCTTCGAAAATAATGTAATTGAGTTTTAATGAATGAGTTCCCAACTGCTTTTTGAGCTACTGAATGGCTCTGGGTCAAAGTTCTCAAGGATCCTGGTGAGGCTAAGAAGTCTAACCTTGAGCTGTGCGAAATGTTTCTGTACCTAAAACTTAATACCTATTCAAATATATTTGAAACAAGTTATTAAAGATATTAAATATATTGAACATATCTTGCATTTTATAAATGTAAAGTTTGCAACTTTGTGTATTGTTTTAGAATATATTTTTATGTGGCCTGCCATATAAAAATGATGCCATGATGCCATATATTTTATTCCATTTTTTCCCCAAGGAGATAAAATCACTCTGACATCATGACTTGACTTATTTCCATAACTTTCTATATATTTTCTTACTGTTACTACATTATCAACACCATATTAAGGTACACGTATAATGTCCTTGTAAATTAAAATAACATATTTGATTCCCAAATCAGGTTTATGACAAATGTTTAACCACATAATTTTTTTTTTTTTTTTTTTTTTTTTT